TTTTGGTGGAATCACTTTGAGTTTGGAGCAATGGACTAGATTTAACATTTGTAATGGAAGTCAACGTCCCCAATTCAAATGGTAGTTGATCAATTTCAGAGTAAGCAAGACTCATGGTTGTTACTTGCTTCAGACTTCCAACTTGAGTTTTTTTTTCTAGCAAACAAGAGTATAGACACAATGTTTTGAGCTTTTTTTTTTTAGAGAATTAAGAGATGGTTATGATGAAAAAGCAGCAACATTGATTAAACTTAGCAATTTGAGTTCTTTTGTGGATCTGAAAAATGAATATGGTATGGCCAAATCATGGTTTTCACTATTTAATAGGAAGAATTCTAACCTTGGAGCAGACATCTTCTGGAAGATCAGTAATGTCACTTTTTTCTAAGCAAATTCCCTTGTAGCCTTCTTTAGCAAATTTTGTTTGGCCATTCTTTCAACCTTCTATGTCTCACAATGAAGGCATGTAACTCATTGGACGCAATATATAGTGCAACGTCTCAAATAACATCATGCCTTGTGACACGATGACTAGAAAATTTATCAAGAAATAAGTTCAAAGATTTTAGCTCACTGACAGCATTAAATTCCAACATGGGCATCTTCCATGTTTTCTATGTGTTCAAGAAAATCTAACCCCATAGAGTACAGGAGCAAGTCTTCAATTAAGGGATCATGAGACAACATGGCAGCAAACAAGAAATTTTTTTTTTCTCTGAGCTCAATTGATTGTAGCTCAGCTTCAAAATGGAATCAACTCTTTAATTCCTGTTATGCTTCTTCGTAAGGATTTTTCAGACATGCAAGGGCATCCTTCCATTTATTCACATCTTTATTCCTTAATGCTTTGGCAATTGTAACAATTGCTATTGGCAAGCCTCCACTCTTTCGAACAATCTCAGTAGCAATAGATATCAAATCAGGACCACTTGAGTTGAAAGAAAGATAAGCAATCCTCTTGAACAATTCTCGTGCTTCATTCTCTATAAATGCATCCACTTTGATAATATTGACATTTCATTAGGTTTGATAGCAACATATCATTCCTTGAAGCTAGTAAAACTTTGCAACCTTCATTCTTTTTGATATTATTTTCATAATCAATACTGGGAATTCCAACTTTGCCCAAATCAAGTTCATCCCAAAGATCATCCAATATTAGAAGCATATTCTTTGCATGTTTCAACCTCTCACGTAGACGAGAAGCTCTTGTGTCCACAATTTTTTCATTGAGTTGCGTACCTAACCTCTCAGCAACTTGGCTTTGAATGCTTTCAATATTCACGTCATCAGAAAGAGGTGCCATGATCACCTTGCATCTTTTGATTCTCCACCTTCTTTGCTACCTCTTTATCTGTTGTAAAGTGACAAATAGACATTTACAGGTTCTTATAGTTTTTTTTTTTTCAAGTTTGATTACCATCTGTAATTTATTTTGTTTTAATCAAGCCTTTATAATTTGATCAATTAAATTGTTAATTCTTGAAGATTAAAATTAATAATGAATTATTAAATTTTCCAAACAAAAATACTTTTAGAGTTTACACAAAATTTAATTTATTACTTTTATCCAAAATTGAAAGAAAATTGATTCAATACACTATTTAAATTTTTATTAATTTTTTATGAAAATTGTATAAGCATAAAACATTATTTAAAATAGAATCTAATTATAGAAATTTTGAGTTATAAAAATAATGTAATTAATTATAAAGTCATATAATCATTTTATAAAGATATCAAAGTTCTTAATTTTTTTAAGAAAAAATTCAAGGATTTTAATTTTCAGGAGTTAAAAAATTTTAAAAATTTAACTATGGGGATTCAATTAAAACAAAATAAATTACAGAGATTTAATTTAAAATTAAAAAATTAAACGAACTTGAAAATATATTCTCTTAAATTTAAGAGAATGAGAGACAATTCAGCATAATGGAAAAGGTAGGACAAGAGTTCAACAAAATTGAAATAACAAAAGCAGAGAGCTTGGCACTATATGGCGAGAATTATTCTTTTTATCCTATTTATAAGGTAAAAAGAGAATATTTTGGTCCTATTTGTAAGGTATCTCAATAATCATTATGTTCATATTTACCATTTTGCCCCTATTCAATGTAGGGAAATTTATGAAATGCTACAGTATTTGATTTTAAAGTAAATATATTTAATAGAGGTAAAGTTAAAAACTTGTTAAATTTTTAGACAGAGTTAATGAGGTTTAATATTTTTTTTGATTTCAGTGAAAATGTTAGAAGTAACTTACAAATAAGACTGAAGAGAATATATATAGTTAAGGGTATAGTAATTTGATTATGATATTAGTTACTACTTGTTCATTCCATCTTTGACTTTCTAATTACGGATAGACGGGAAACAAAAAGAGCTCGGAATGATTAGAAAGGCTATTATTCAACATCACACCATATTAAAAAGATCTTCCAAAATCCAAACTATAGTGTAATAGTCACTCAAGCCTCTATGCTCACTCCATTCTATTGTATTAAAAATGAAGAAGAAAATTCCCAAGCATACAATTAGATTTAAAATTCCCTCATTCTCCCACGTTTGCCTTTGTAATCTTATATACATATATATAATTTTTATTTGAATTCATACATCCATGATTTACATATGCATAACTATTAAATTATGAGATATGTGTTTATATTATTTCAATTAATTATTTTATTAAGTTTACAAATGACTCATTGATGTTCTTTCCATTATTTCCATCAACTTTAAATTAGAACGCTATTCACTAAAAAATATTTCTTTGGTTTGATATAGATTAGCGGGTGCTGCACCTTTTGCTGGTCATTAAAGGGTTTTAGTATTGAGTTGAAGTAAAGGATGGTAGATCAAGTTTCTTCTAATGAAAACTTAAATCCATTTATTATGTTTTGTAAGCATTATATTAGATGAATTACGTTGGTTATGGTTAGGGTCCTTACTTTGTCAAATATTCTGTCCACTAGCTAGAAGGAGCTGAGTTTCTGATTGTTATGATATTTGTCTAAAAATTTGTATTGTAGAATTTTCAGGGAATCTTATTTTCAAGGGAGATTTTGTCAAAATTTTTACAAAAATACTAATGCTTTATTTAAATAAAAAGTAATTTTTAAAAGTAAAAAATTTCTTGAATTAGGCTTAAGGGATGTGTGTTTAAGTGGGGTGGGACAAGCACATGATTTTTGAAATTTGGTTGAACTGTACCATTTAAAAAAAAAACATTAATCTTTCATATATCAATACAAGAAAAAAAATCACTTTAATTTAAATAAATTTTTTTAGAAATATTTGGTCATGTTGGTCAAATTGTCAAGCTTTATGTACAAGATTGTTAAAAGTAATGTTTTAAAAACAACACCGGATGACAAATTGAAAAAGACAATGGGTCATGATTCTCATTGATTCAACTGATTAGATCAACAATCCAATTGGTCTAACTATCCAAGTTGAATCAAGTCTTAAAACCTTGGTTAATTCCATCTTGAAAATATATTTCAAGTAGAGGCGGAACCAGCTTTAACAGTTAGGGGGCCGATTTTAAAAAATAATTTTATAATTTAGAAATATTAGATACCAAATTATGTACAATTATATATACTTTTTAGAAAATTTTAAAAATGTTTAAAATAAAGTCATATAACATGCTTATGTTCTCTCTGATCCCTTATATTATAAGATACTCTTCAAAAATAAAAGTGGTCTAAATTATAAGATACCCAATTAGGATATCAAATGATACTCTATTTTTACTCCCTATAATAATGGTTTTTTGTAACTTGAACAAGGCATGATGAGGTTCTCTTTAATTAATAAGGGTATGAGTGAAATATTAAATTTTTTTTTTAAAATAAAAGAATCTAATAATTTTTCTTAATCTACATGCAAAAATGTTGAGAAGTGTATATAAAAGGTGAAGGGAGTGAGCTCCCTCCGAACCACTACATAATGTATTTTCTTAGAGCCTTACTTAGTCTAAAACACTTGATATTATGTAGTTTTCAAAATTATTTTTTGAGAGAATTACATCCAGATTTTGCAGAAAAAAATTAATTACTACAAAGTTCATTTACAACTGAACTAAGGAGATTGACAATACAATCAGTTGTCAACCTCCTTAGTTTAGTTGTCACTGAACTTTATAATAATTAATTTTTTTATATGAGACTTCGATGTAATTCTCTTTTATTTTTTTAACTACACCCCTATTTTATGTATTACTTTTTTTGAAAAAATTATGTATTAAAATTTTAATTATCATTATTAAGACACTTATATAAAATATTTGATGAGTGTAAAACTTAAAGAATATACAATTTTTTAAGAGATTAAAATTTTACCTAACTTTTTATAAAATTGGAAAATAGTTTTTAATGTCACATATTATAGCCTAGAGGAAATATATGTATGTATGTAAGTAATTTGTGTATATGTGTGTCTATAACATGGGAGATTATTTTAATTGTGGTGTTATGTCTATACCCCCTTCCTCTCATCCCATTCCCTCACTGTTCACGCACATTCTCCACACAGTATACAAGGCAAGGGCATTAGGTTGGCCCCTTGCGGAACGCGGAGTTCCGTCCCTGATTTCACAATCTTCACCTTATTTCTCTTTTTGGGAAGAGTCAAACTTTTGGGACTCCTATCAAAGTTTGTCGTCTTCTCTGGTTCACAGTTTACTCCAATTTCTTTTTCAATGGTCAATGGAGATTGCAATGTCTTGACTGTGTTCCCAATTTGGACAGATAGCAAACACTTTACGACAAGACATTGAAATAACGAACAATGACTTGTAAGTCGATGGTTACATGTGAAAAAACTGAAAATATGGACAATGTGTTTTTTGCCTTCCTGCTTTCTGTCCCTCAAGTTGGCAAAAGATATTGGCAGAAAATTAAAGTTAAATTAAATTTGTCATCCGATTAAGATAACAAAAGTTGCGCCTTATATCTTTTTCTTAAATTATCGTTATATGCAAAATCACATGTTTCTCTAAAATATGTTTGAATTACTCTATCACAAAAAATGTTAATGATTTTTTTCTTATGGACAAGAACTTATATCCTCTTGCTTGTATACATTGTATTGTCCAGTTATTCAATTAATGTCTGAAAATTCATTTGTAACTACTAATTTGAAGTGAGTAGGATAGAATCACGCACGCGGGTGTAAAACTCTTCCATTAATAATTTATTTAATAAAAAACGTTTAATCTCTTGAACTGATCACAAGATTTCTACTACCTAGAGAGCTAAAAATTTGTTAGAGTTGGTTTTAATCATGTTTAAAAACATCTTCAGTAGTGTTTGTAGAAATTTATTATTAAATTTTTAAGTTGAAATATGTCGTACATGTTTACATAAAAAGATGGAATAGTAAATGAAAACAAAATGATGAAATACGTAAATATAGTATTTAAGTTTATTTTTGTATTTATTGCTATTGCGACACGCAGAAGAGTTTGAAATGAACAATGCGGGAGAGATTTATCAGTTAAAAGAGAGGTGAAACATTTGCATCATTTTACTCTACTCGGTCAAATTGTCAAACTACGCGTCTAGAATGATAAACTGTACAAACAAAAAATCTCGGAAGCATTTATATTACTAGGTATATCTAAAAAAATGTTAATATTCATAGATAAAATATTTAATAAAAAATAATGCAATATACGGTCTAGTAATTTATTTAAGTTGAATCAAGATCTTCAAATATGTTATAAAATTCCTTGACAATTCTGTTAATGTCACAATATTGAGATTTATGGTGTAACATTTTGTAGACAGTCTTTTCAGCTATAAATATAGGTATATCTCTTCTCCACTTCAACAATAATCAACCAGACTCACCTGTCACGGATGAGGAGGCTGTTATCATTGCGTTTGGTTCTTTGTTTCCAATTCTTTCTCTTGCACTCTCTTTCACTTTCCTTTGCTTTTCCATCTTGTCGCTCTGACCAAAGCTCAGCTTTGCTACTCTTCAAAATCTCATTTTCCATTAGAAAGCCTGATCCTAATTCTATCGCTTCTGAAAGTTGTGATTCTTATAACATTTCAGACCTCAAGACATCAACTTGGAAAAATGGGAGAAATTGTTGCTTATGGGATGGGGTCACATGCAATCCTTTGGGTCACGTAATTGGCCTCAATCTCAATTGCAGCTGGCTTCATGATAAACTTCTTCCCAATAACACTCTCTTCCAACTTACCCATCTTCAGAGGCTTGTCCTTAGTTTCAATGACTTCCAGGGATCTCAAATATATCACACAACTTTTCACAACCTGTAAAGTTGGCAGA